GCTTCATCCTTGAAAGACTTACGCAGGTTTGGGGGTACAGCAGGTAGGAAATATCCTACTGGAGTTAACTTTTTTCGAGTCAACTCAAATCAGTGTGAACTGAACAGATGTAATCCTAGGTGAAATAATGCCTAAGACCTGGAATTCATTGAAGGATGTATTTATTTACAAGATACAAATGTTTAATATTTAATAGAATTAAAGTGCTTAATTTTACAATGTTTCCAATTCTCTGCCCATATGGCCAAATATACATATGTTACAGAATATATACACTATCTGCAAGTATTTTACATTCATATAGCTAGAAAAGAAAAATTACTTTTTGTGTATACCTTTTCACATTTGAATCAACTCTAAAATTCTGACCACACACTTTTTCAAACTGATCAGTCAACAGTTCAGATATCCAGATAACACTTATTCAAAAATATCAGTCAATTGTCACTCACAGAATGAAATGCTAGTTTGGAAAAAAATTCTATATACAGACATGATTGCTCAAGGGAGACCTCCCCACAAGGCGATACATTCCAACATCCATATAATATGTAATAGATAATGCAATTCTTTTTATTATAATGGTCTTTACAGACTATTGTTTCATCTCAAACCTATATATATATATATATGACATATACATTCATATATATATATATATATATATAGAAAGAGAGAGCACTATCACTCTATGTATTTGGTATTCACTTATTAAAATATGCTACAATGAGATTTCCTGATTTAAATTTTTCGCTAACTCTACCATAATGAACTGTAAAGGGAGACCATTAACTAAATTTCAGTGACCCTAAAAGTTAAAACTATCTTGTAGAAGACATATGCTACTTCATGTTGATGCCCAGGAAAGACACCGCATTCTTACCAAGGAGACCACGATTGACATTACAGTGACTTTTAAAAAATCTCAGTCATCAGTGCAGCAAATGGCCAAAGAAAATAAGTTTTTCAAGCCTAAAGGAAAAAAGAAAGTAATAACAAGATACCAAAGGTATCAGAGGCCAAGGGAAAAGGCCTGGATGCAATGGATTCCATCATTATGGAATTATATAGATTACTATGTGAGTTTATGCCCTTCTGCAGTTGAAGTATTTCTCTCTTAATGTACATTCCTCATCTGGAGACCAACAGATGGACTAGATTTTCTGTCCATCTCTTCACTCTTGTTTGTTTCAGTCCCAAATCTTATTCCTCTCTACTGTATCAGCAAAGACAGCAAAAAACTATCTTCACAATGATGGCATGATTATGGGGCATAAATAAAAATGAATTATACTAAAAATCCATGAAATAATATATGCTAAATATTTCGATCAATAGGAAGAGATTTTATAAAAATTTCATTCCCAAGAAAAAACAATTGGAAATCAGTAATGTTTTTACATATATACATATATGCAGAAATTCACAGAAGGGTTTTTAAAGTAGATTTAGTGGTCTTTATATATTATACTCATAGCTTCTAAATCTGGAGACTTTATAGTAGGTAGTAATATCAAAATAAAAAGTGATTGGATTCTACTACCACCAGATGAGAATGAAGAAGTGATATGGTCTACAACAGATGTCAATACAGCCTTAAGAATAAGAACTGGATAGCCAGTTTTAATAAGCATATATTCTGGAAGAACACAAGATTTAACAATGAAAACATTAAGACATTCTTGCCTTCTGATCTAACTTTAGCTTATAAGTACTGTGTGCTTAATTTTAGGCCCATCTGACACAGAAATCGTGCGATGTGGACATATTAATTAGGCTTCCATTCTGTGCTAGTGGCCAAAGTTAAGGTCTTTGTTCCCTAGAATTTATCTCTGCCTTCTCTTCAGGATCAGGTCCAGAAAGATTATTAGCGTTACCACAGATAATATGCTTGAAATAAGAACGCAAGGCTTTGAATGTAACCAGAAATCACATTTAGAATTTGAAAGGACAACAATACACCCTGTTGCCACAAAGTAGGCAAAAGTAAAACAGAACTGTGAACTGACAGAGGTATTTTGGGTAAAAGGTCTTAGAAGGCATCAATGAATCTTTAACAACCCTGCAGTTTGTTGGAGTGTGTAGTCTTTATAGATTTAAAACCACAAGTATTCTTTTTAAAAATCCAAATGTGTACCTTCATGTGGGGACAGGGTATATTGAAAAGATTAGTTCTTATAAAAGCTTGGTCATTTTTGTGACTTAGGGAACCTCACCTACCAATGGCGGTAAGTGCACCAGCCCACATGTTGCACTAACTAAACTTCATGGGAAAGGAAACCCAGGTGTGCTTCCCATCATGATCCACGCACTTCGCAAAAGTAAAAATGCTTTTGATACTTATTTGAGTCCAAGGAATAACACCTCTCCCCACACTCCAAGCCCAGCAAGGTGAATCTCACCAGTATCACTTCTAGAAGCTCTACATCTGTGTGGCTAGTGGGGGGGGGGGTTTCATATTAAAATATCAGTATAAAAACATACCCTGAAGAGTTTTATTGCTTGCATACATGATGGCATTGTAGATGCCATGAGTACAAAAGTGGCTGGTGGCATTTTCATTACTAAGTTCCACTTCCAACCTGGGCTATTATGCCTCCCATTGGTAGGCCAAATGGCAGACTTTGAATCAAAGGAAAACTTAGGTCTAAAGACTGGAATGCTTTGTACTGAATAGCAATTTTTATCCAATATGTCCTTTTATGTTTGTGGAAAGGGCATGTTAAAGAATGGATGTGTGGAGAATATCAAATGAGTGAGAATCATCCAGAATGTTGCTTTGGGTAGGAAAGGAACCAATTGTTATTTTTTAGATACAATGTGTCATGTCTGGTCAGACAGCAGAAGATACGGATTCTGTCACATTCACACCTGATGTTTTCTGGTTGAGGCAGGTATTTACTGAGTGGCTGAGTAAGAGTGTTCCTCTGCGTTTCTCCAAGTACACGTGCTACTGACTCTTTAAGAAGGGAGGACAGGTAGATCTGCTTGGGTCCTTCTCTCTGTGCTTGGCTAAGAAAAAGGGTGGGGCATGAAGATTGGGTAACCAGATTATCTTCCAGCACTGATTTTTCTAAATTGGTTATGAAGAATAAAAGATTACATGCAAAGAGCAGGATATGACTCTCCCTCTGTAGGTCTTAGCCTGGATTTGATAGCACTGATGCTAATGAGCTTGTGTACATGTCCCTTGCAGGCCAGGAGAACTTATGGATGGGGAAAGTGTCATCTCCTCACTGTTCAGCGTTGGAATATACTCTGGCCTGCACAGTTCTCATCGGCCTTGTGCTCTGGCTGTTCCATCCACATTCACAAAAGTCACCTTCCCTGACAGTCACCAGTACTTTCATTGCCCTCTTTTCTTGAGATTAAGGAAGTCAAAGCATTATAAATAGCTATTATTGGATCTCAGTAATGATCTATCGGCATGTACAGATGTGCACACACACACATGACACACATGAATGGGGACAAGAGGAGAAAAGCAATGGGACACCTCAGTGCCTGACCCCCACAAAGGGACTTTGGCATCTTTTGGCTATACAGATTTGCTGTGAACTGAGTGACAGTAGCTGGAAGTCATAACTGCTTTACCTTCTCCTCTGGGGGTGAGGGGGTGGGTGAGGAAGGGAGCTATTTCAACGCTTTCTTAAAACAACAGGTTCTGAATCAATGGATGGTCATCTCAAATTCTGAGTGTAGCTAGTCTCTAATCAGGGTGTGATTCTCAAAAGTCAAGGACAGTATTGTATGTGTAGATTTATAGCAGACTGAAGTGTCAGGAATATTAATGTTTTGGCATGATGGGGTAAAGGTGAAAAAAATATTTGAGAAAAGGGTTAAGTTAAACAGTCAACTTAGTGTGAGATGTTAATCATAACTCTTGCAGAATGAGACACGGGCTCAGTAACAAGGAATCACATTTTGTCTTCTTACAATTGTACTGTTAAAATTTCCCAGAGGAGAAAAGGTGAACAGAAGTCCAGAGTCTCTTCATTCACCTTGTACCTCTGAAAACTGCCTTCTTCATTGTGTCTCCCCTCTCTCCTCTGGCCAGGTGGTGTAGAGCTGGACAGAGCCTTCCTTTCATACGTTAGGTGTGAAATAGTATTGAATATTCTAGACGCTTGAATGCTAGCGCTCTATGTGAGTCTTATGCCTCATCCCACGAAGGACCGACCCTGTGGGTCATCCTCAGTGGTGATTCTTCAGCGTCCTTGCTAGAGCATGCCTGACATTTCTATGGAGAGAAAAGCTTTGCAATCAATGCAGTTTCTGTTCATCCCTGCTCAGTGTAAGGTAGGTGGAGTTCAAGTTTTGGCAAAGGTTCCTGTACCTGCTGATACCAATGGCAGCAATAATGGTCAGACTGTGAGAGGGGAATGGGCCTGGGGGCCTGGCCAGCCCGGTGACCAACGGGCTTTATCTCAGGAAAATCAAGACAGAAGCTTTCACCAGACCCTCACAGGTAAGTAAATATTATTAGCACCTTTAGAGACAGGCACTGTTTTCAATAGGCACAGAACGAAAAAATAGTACTTGAAAAATACAGTTGGAATTCACCAAGAAAGCCCATGCCACGCGTTACTGCTTTTTCTCATTACAAAAATACCCATACCCTTAGATGTCAATCAGTTAAACATAAATCACCAGATACAGTAGAACACTACTCAAGATTCCCAGATAAAACATGCTTTATATTTTAAAAATAAATTAAGAGACAAATAAGAACCAAAAGCTGAGGAGAAAAGTATGTCGAGTACATACATAGATATTTCTATTGAATACTATTTACATATTGTTGCTATATACTTAAGATTTCTTTATTCTTAGGAGTATTTTCACAAAACCAAGTATTATCTCTTCTTAATAAGTCAAAACTTTGAACACCAACAATTTGCCTTTCTGCTTCTTTTTCCAAAGAACGGACATTATTTATGCAGCCGGCACTAGTCGAATAAGTCAAAACATTAACCTAAACTGTCCCTGTATTTGATTTCTTTTTTTTTTTTTTTTTACAGCAGATCTGTTTTGGCAACACAGAGGTATATCTTTCAAACTGTTGCAATCCTACAGTATGTGCAAGAGGAGACACTAGAGGATTTCTTAAAATCCTACCCTAACCCAACAGTGAGAGAATCACAGACACCCATTTCCTTCAAGACACAAGAACAGATTCAAGGGGTAGCCCATTAAAAATGCTGCTTTTTCACATTATTCCAGACGTTCATCAGTAGAATGGCTCTGCGTATCTATTTCACAAAGAGCACACAGACACACGGTGACCACCCCAAAGATGCATCCCAGTCTATGTTTCCGACATAAAGTGCTAAGAGGTGCGTGGGGGCACCGGGAGTGTCTTGAGCCGTCAGGGAAGATGCCCGCACCCAGGCCAGGCTCAGCCCTCGGACTTCCTCTTGGTTTCGGGATGATCGTCTGAGGAGGCCGGAGGCTCATCTGGGTCGTCTGGGGTCTCACCTGTGACCGCCAGGAAGATGACCTTCAGCCACTTCTGTTTCAGGTCTTCGCTGTCGGCGGCGAAGCTGTGCACAGACTTGGACTGGGTCAGCTTGAAGCTGTGAGGCAGGTCTGCACTCCGGGGCAGGCTGTCAACCACGTAGCCCAGCAGCGGGATGGTGGCCTGGGCCCTCACATCCTGGGGAGACAGGGTGCATCTGGTGTGGGATGGGTGGCCGGCAGGGTGTGCCCTCTTGGACTGGTTCCCAGGACTCCTTCTCTCCACCACTGGCCTATGATGATCTGCTCCCTGAGATGGCATCCAGGGCCTGCCCTGCAGCACTGCCAGTGTGGGCTGTGCAGGAAGGAGGGTTGCACTAGGCCTCAGAGGCTACTTCTGACTTTCAGAGAGGGAGCTCACTGAGCTACTTGCACAGCACAACAGGGAAGAGAGTAATAGTCATTGTGTATGTAAACCCATCATGCTAATGGACAGCCTCATTACCATGGATATTTTAATCTGGTGATTCATGGCATCTGTTTATTTATGGGCAAGTCAAACAGGGTAAAATGTATACCTTCACAGCTTCAGTCTACCTCTAAGATAAAAAGGCCCACCAGTCCTTAACTAGATAGACTAGATATGTCAGATCCAGCTAGAACATTCCATTCCCAGACAACACACATCAGTGTAAGCTTTTTAAGGACAACATGGTCTGTGGTGTCTGGTGCCGGTTAGAAGGGGGCCTCGTGGGGCTCTTGTTCCTAGGGGCTCATTACAGATCCTGCTCCCGGAGTTCTTAAAAAAAAACAAAACTGTTGGCCCTCCCTGGTGGCGCAACAGGTTAAAGCACAGCACTGAGAATCTAAAGCAGCTCTGCATGAGTTCGATTCCCGCCTGCCCCGGAGGTGACCACATGGCATGGCAGACCTCTCCTGACCCACCCCCTGCCCCCCTCAGCAGTGTACTTCGTCAATCTGCCTGTTCTGTTCCCCGTTCTGTCTCTGGTGAAGCCTCTCACTGCCCCTGAGCCTCTGGCCTGTACCCCAGTTCTGTATGCACAAATAAATAAAATCTTAAAAAAAAAAAAAACTGTTAACCCAAGACTGAAATTCCCTTACTCTCAAATTCCTTTGACTTTTAGGCAATCCATCCTTTCAAGGAAAAAAAGAGACTTAACACTTTCCTATCATAGAACACAGGTTCCTCCTCCTCCTTGCTTCATCCCCTTCTTAAGCCTGCTGCTTAAGAATTCACCACCGCTCAAACCCACTGTATTAGAGCAAGAGAAGGGGACAAATGGCCCACCAGCGAAGAAATCCCTGCCACACAAGGGCTTGGTCCGTGGCCTCATCCCCATGTGCTGCAGAGCCGCACTGAGCACTGCACGTGCTCACCCCACATGGAGCGGCAGGGGGAGAGGTGCCACGTCCACACATCCCCCCCGGGCCTGACTCTGCAGACAGGTGTGCTTAGATACCTGGGGGGCGCCGTACATGTACAGCACAAGAGGGTCTTGTTTGGGGATCACACACCAAGCTTTCTGCCAGGGCTTGGACTTCTCCATGTATTGAAGAAAGCTGCACACCACACTGTTTCCAGACACTTCTGCTGATTCAATCTAGGAAAATGCAGTGGGAGTGGGAGAGGGAGAAGGAAGAGGGCAGGCAGAGAACATAAGATGAACTGGGTAAAGGAGTTCGGCTTAGAGAGCAGTCACAAAATACATGTTTACATGAAATGTCTCCCAGGAATGTCCAAAAACGGTCCCCTAGAATTGTTACTGAAATGCCCTCATCTCCTCTGTTCTAGCCTGGGAAGTCTTTTAGTGTCTTGGACTCTTTGCATTACCAGATCTTGAACTGAAGCGGTGCTGAACACTGAACACTGAGAAAGTTGCTACTTTCATTATCTAGGAGGCTCAGACAGGAAACAACAACCCTCCCCAAATCCCACATTAAGGAGCCCCAGCTATGACTGGAGTCTGAACGCAGGGAACTTTAAAGCACAACTCACTTGGGTCACGGACCCACGAATGCAGTGGCAGAAGTCTCTGCCCTAGCACCTGCGTGGAGGCCAGCATTTCCCAGCTGCTGTGTCTCGGGAGGGCCATTTACAGTTTCCTGTCTTGCTCCCTAAAGTCTAAATCTTGGTCTTAAATCATCAGCTAAAGGGGGAACACACACAGCCACTGGATGAGCAGTTTTTAGTCAACACACTGCAGAGTGACTGGGTGGCTGCTGTTTCTTATACTCAGATGCTCAGGGCCCCCCCGACAGGGTCCCCCATGGGACATCACAGGCTTGCGAGCCGTGTGACCAGGTGGAAGGAGTAGCAGAAAAGTCTACAGCAGCCTGTGCGATGAGGCCCAGCATACAATGTTGGTGTTATTTTACAAAAAGACAGCTGTGAGGTTTGGAGTGGTTTGGAGATAAAGCTGGGTCTTCTCAGAGGGAGTGTCTGAAGCTGCGGGCGGGAAACAGCAGCCTGGGGTCACTCTAACCAACTACCTGTTTTTGCATAGTCTGGGAGCTAAAAATAATTGCTACAGAAAGAACATCTGAAATTCATTCAATGATCAGCACCAGCGATGCTGGGCTCTAGTTGAGTGAATGTTCTCTCCCTCCTCTCCCAAAGGATTCCATTTTTTTACTGGCAAATCCAAATTATAAGACATTATATTAAGTTATTCTATTTTGAACTTTGTCAATAAAGATTTGGGCACATTTGTTTTCATTCCTGTTATATAAGGAATTATAGCCTCAGCTGCCTCTTGGTGGCAAAGACTCAAAGTTTCTCTCTGGCCTTTTACGGGAAAAGTTTCCAGACCTTTGATCTGGAACTCACAACACACCAGTGAGTCTGCAGAAAGCAAGTATGTGTGTGTGTGTGTGTGTACATGTATCTTCTACTTATAGACAGATTTATTTGATTAAATGAAATAAATAAGCATTTGATTGCTTTCCCCAAATACAGAAAACTAGATGGAAATTTTTATTTCACAGGGAAAGTCTGAAACTTATGGCTTAAAACAGCCCCATGGGGCTGTCCCACCAGCTGCTGCAGGAATGTGAGGATGTGCTGGCGTGGGGGCCTGTCTGCTTGGGAAACCCCACTTTGCTCTACAATACAAGTCACCCCAGACCCCTGATAATTTCAGAGTCATCTGTTAGTTTGTGGATTCAGGGATCAGCCTCAGCTGAACCTCGACTGCACAGTGCTTTTCCAATAAACAGAAATGACTTTTGTATGTTTATATAGTGTCGATGCCTGATGAACACTCAGGGCCCAAGAGAGTCCTTCCCGTGACTACAGACACAAACCATGGCCCTCAGGTATCCCCGCTCATACAGTCTCCAGGCTTTTCTGAACTCTGTCATAGAAGCCTTCTGCTGTGTCTTATTTTTTTCTACCATCAGGATCCCAGGATGATAAACTCATTTTTAGATACAAACTGACTACAGCTGCCAGCATTTCAGGGTCTGGATTTATTGTAAAACAAGTGACTAGTAATTAAATGATAGTTTTAATGTGATTGATTGGGCACGTTTTTTAGGTAACAATACTTTCACATAAGTTGGAAAAATTTCAGGCAGTTTTTTTTTCCAAGCTGAATATAAGACGACACAGAGGAAAGTGATCCTACTAAAAAATATGTTATCTATCCTAATTTGGAAGATTCTGGTGTAGTACCACAAGCTACCACCAAAGGCAGCAGGTCTCACGAGCAAGTGCCCAGCAGTGACCCCGTGCCTTCCTATAAAACCAAGTGTGTCCCTTCAAAGTTGGTGACGTTAGAGGTACAAGTTTTGCTGATCATTTCCAAATGGATAGATACTAAGGAAAATAACAATATACACCATTTGCATTCTCCAGGGTTAAAGGACAGTTCTCTGCTCTTGCAGAGAAAATCTAAAATACAACTCTAAAAGGCAGCTGCTATTTAATATTTCATACCTCTAAAATTCCTTTCCTTTTCTTTTCTTCACTGTCTGTGAACCCACCACATATGATCTGAAAACAGTCTTTACACACTTTGCTCAGTTTTTTTCCATCATATTCAAGGGGGACCTTGTAGTCAGAGCACTTCCAGCACACCACCTGCAAGAAGAAATGATCATGGGGAGTTAGAGGGACTCACAGGGCACCTGACCCAGGTTAGTCAGAAGTGACAGCAGGTGGGGGAAAAGTTAGGTGCTGAGGAGAGACAGGCCTGAAGTGGACCCACAGCTCTGAGGCTGTGTTGGTCTGCCGGCTCCGCTTCCTGGCCCTGATGGCAGGTGCCTCGAAAGGCAAGACGAGGCTTTGCTTCTACCCGCCTAGAGATGTTGTATCAAAACCACCCCCAAATGGCATCTGCGCTCAGTGCTCCCCAGACCTGCCCACATTCTGCCCCCTTCACCTGCCACCCGACCCTGTTCTCTCCCAAACCCCACAGATTCACCAGCTTAGTCCTGCTGTCTTTACTGCCTCCCTCCTTCCCTCCATCCATCCATCCACTCAATCATCTACCCACCCACCCAACCATCCAATCGACCCAGTCATCCATCCATCCTTTTATCTGTATTTTTTAAACCTTTCTGCAGTCACTGAGCTGACAATGTACTTGCGTGGACCTTACAGCAAATAGGTTTGTCCTCCTGTTTTTGACCTTTTGCCCCTGGGTCTCCACTCACACATCTGCAAAGTGACCTTCCATATGGAGCCAGGTGCTCTCTTAAAAAATGCCAACTTGGGCCCTCCCTGGTGGCGCAGTGGGTTAAAGCACAGCACTGAGAATCTAAAGACGCTTCCGCATGAGTTCGATCCCCGCCTGCCCCAGAGGAGATCCACATGGCGTGGCAGACCGTTCCTGACCCGCCCGCTGTTCCCCTCAGCAGTGTACTTCGTCAATCTGCCTGTTCTGCTCCCCACTCTGTCTCTGGTGAAGCCTCTCACCGCCCCTGAGCCTCTGGCCTGTACCCCAGTTCTGTATGCACAAATAAATAAATCTTAAAAAAAAAAATGCCAACTTGTGGAAAGCCCATGGGGATTACAACTGAGATGGAAAAAGGCACAAAATGATGTAAAAATAAACATATTATTTTTTAAAAAGCCAACTTGATGTTTAACCTCCTTCCAAGTCTTCCCTTTGCTCTTGGGTAAAGGACAAGCTCTTAAACATGCCCACAAAGGCCTGCCCACCTCATTCTCCTGGCCCAGTCTTCAGACCACTGGTCCTTGGAGCCTGGCAGTGCCAGCCCTTTCCCTCCACCCCGCCTCTGCCTCCGCCACCTTGTGACACTCACTTGGTTTCACTTCCTCAAGGTAGGTGTTTCCACTTTCAGAACAGACATCACCTCCTCTCCCTGTGTGACTAAAGATTCCCTGCATTTTTTTCATGGTGGATTATAGATCTCAATCAGACACTGTGGGATCAGTTCACTTGTCTGCTATTAGGTGATAAGTTGTCCCCGAGTCTGGGAGCCCATTGAGAGCCTGCGCTTGCATGACCCATGGCATAGAAGGGGTGAGAAAGATGAGTCTGAACCAAAGGCTCTAATGTTTTGCTCCCCAAACATGCAACCAACACTAGGCAAATGCCAGTGAATGAGCAGTGGCTGCACAGATATGAATAATTTCTTAGTGGACGGCAGTTTTTCTTAATTATAGGATAATTGTTGGAAAACTGTCTAAATTAAAAATATTCTTGTTTTCTCATGCCTTTTGCAGCATCATGGATGGAGCTGGAAGGGATCATGCTTAGTGAAATAAGCCAGGAAGAAAAAAATACCGGATGGTTTCATTCATAGCAGGAGTATAAAGGACCAGGGGAGAAAATAATAATGATAATGAACAACTATATACCAGACATTTCAAGAGGGTGGAATGAGGAATAGGATAAAAAACGGGGGTGGAGGAGGAAGTACAGGACTATGGTGATGGCACAGGGGTGAAATGGTGATGGGAAGCCCATGGGGATTACAACTGTGATGGGAAAAGGCACAAAAAGGTGATGTGAAAATAAACCATTTAATAATAAAAAAAGAAGAAAAAAATCAGCAAAAAAAAATTCCTGTTTTAGGAATTTCTATTCTCAGAGTAGACAAAGTGTATTTAAAAACTATCAACATTCATATGATTTTTGGTTTATGTTCAAAACATATAACATCCACCATACTAGCTGTTGGTTTTTTCCAAAATTACAGTGAAATTACTCTAGGCTTAGCATGAGTCATGCCTGCAGCTTTAGGTTCTTCTAGGTGGATATTTTATTTTTAAATCATATCGAGGCAATTTGACAATCCACCTTCGCGCACACTTTTAAAGGCTTATTTACCTAAGGCAAGTATGTCAGCAACTGCAGTCATTTCAGGAAAACTCAATAACAGGATTTTAAAGTCTTAAAACGAGGGAGCCACTGTGTTTGCTGTTACACTCTGAAATCCATTCTGTTTTAGGCCTCCAAGAGCTGCCGACACGCTCCCTCAGAGGCTCGGCACCTTCAGCAGCGCAACTGCCAGGATGATGTGCGCTCAGGTTGCGTCTCTTCAGGCTTCCTCCAGCTCACATCTCCCTGCCCCGCCTTCACTCTCAGCTGACAACTCGCCCCACTTCAGTGATCTAGAGACACATCAGATTGGAACTCCCTTGCGTCCACCACCAAGTCAACACACAACACTTCAGGCCAGGCCCATCTCCCCACATTGCCTTTGTAATGACGGGAGACGCCCTGCGCCCCCCGAAGCTCAGGCCCTCACGCCCCGACTGCTCCAGTTCTCCAGGGCACCATCGCCGTTGGTTACGACTCATCTCTCACCCCTCTATGGCATGGCTCATGTCCTCCTGCAGCTGATGTGTCTCTCTCAAGCTACATCCTTTACTGGCAGCTGTACCGGTCTCTGTCCATCTCTGTTCATTTTTGCAAGTTTCAGTTCAGAATCTCATCCCCTGTGGGTACCTGGATTGTGGTGTGTGTGCTATGTGTGTGTGTGTGTGCGCACGGTGTGTGGTAGATATAGTGAGTATGTGGTATGTATAATGTGTATGTAGTGTAGTGTGTGTGGGGTGTGGTATGTGTATTGTGTGTGTGTGGGGTGTGTGTCCATGTACACACATAGAGAGCCTCTCTCTCCTGTGGGTCAGACACAGAACCTCTGCCATGTGCAATCAGGCACAGCACAGCCCCGGGAGCACACAGCTCAGTTACCCCTTATTTACATGCTCCCCACTCAAACGCACCCCCAAGGGCTGCTCTTCACCTCCTTTCCCAGGCGAGATGCCTCTCGTCTACCCAGCATCAGCTTAAATGTTGGCCCCTCAGACTGGCCTTGTTCTTTCTAACTATGAGTTGGTATCCTCTGTCAGTCTCCCTGTGAGCCCAATCTGCTTCCTGGGGTGGTGGCAGTGGGACAGCCATGGGTCTGCTGACCAGTGTCTGGCTCTCCAGGAACATGTGAGCCCCCTGAGCCCGGATATCTGTTTCTTATCATTTTTTTTCTGTAGGATGCAGTCTATTGCTGTGTTCATTGTTGTCAACAAAATAAAGTTAGATTAAGGGATTTAGTGAATAATTCTGTTTCTTCCCAGCCTCCCCTCCCCTCCAGACACACAGGTGTCCCAGGCCACAACCTGGGAGCCCCACTTACGTGTCCACAGGCCCGGCAGTGGTGCCGCCTCCTGGTCAGAGCATTGAAGGATTCCCTACATTTCATACACATGGTCACCTCATTATCTCGGATCCACTTGGGGGCTCGCTTGCCTAGCTCATCAGTCTAAAAAGGAAAGAGGGTATTATTACCTGCCATTAAAAAATATATAAGGGTGGCTCTCCCTACTGGCACAAGGGATTAAGTCTCAGCACAATGAAGCTATCAGCAGCCACTGTGGCATGAGTTCAATCCCCAGCCAGAATGTTGACACACATGGCACAGTAGACCTCACCTGTCTGGCCTGCTGCTTCCCTCAGCAGTGTATTTCAGTCAATTCCGCCTATTTTGCAACCCATTCTGTCTCTGGGGAATCCTTTCACCCTCCCCCATCCACCTCTGGCCTAGTCCCTAGTTCTTGGGTGCATAAATAAAATAAATCTTAAGAAAAAAGCAGAGAGGCCTTATGGCCTAGGGTTAAGTCTCAGCACTATCACTGAGGCAGCCTGAGTTCGATCCCTGGCCAGGGAGCTGACCCACATGGCACAGCAGACCTCTCCTGTCTCTCCCGCTGTTCCCCTCCGCAGCGGATTTCAGTCAATTCACCTGTTCTGTTCTCCACTCTGTCTCTGAGGAACCCTCTCATCCCTTTTCCTGAACCTCTGGCTTTCATCCCAGTTCTTCTACACCAAAAAGAAAAAACACCTTTCCAAGGTGATTCCTACCCTTTCTGAGTCAAGACTCAGAAAGTGACATAAAAGGTTCCAAGAAGCTTCAGTGTGAAAACATACTGCTGCTAGCTAGACTGGGGGGTATGAGGCACTGTGTAGACAGCACGGCCTGGCTTACCGAAGGAGACAGGCTGGAGAAGCAAGTGAGGAGGTGGGGACACTGCAGAGCAGAGAGAAAAGAGTGTAAAGCAGAGGTTTGAATTCCACTTACAGAGACCTCAGAGTGCACCTCGTTATCCTTTGCAATTGCATTTCTGAAGGTTTCGTTTCTCTGATGGAAAGCATCAATGGTCTCTTGAAGGGCCTAGAATGGAAATGGAATTCGAGGCATAATGAAAGTATCACCTACAAGTCAATGGGAACAATTGATCAGGTAAACATCTGTGATGGGAATCGCCTTAGAAATTAAATGACCTTGTCTGAGGACACACGTGAAACCAGCACAGTGACATGTGGGCATGTGTGTGTCCATGGCCAGAGGGCACGGGAGACAAAAAAACGGAAACAGAAACCAGGCTTACCTTGATCCACTCTTCTTTATCTTGCTCAGAGCTAAAACAAAACAAAATTAAGGTGAAGGCAAAGAACATTCAGGAGTCGACCGGTGACTAAAACTATGCTTTAATGTTGCTCCAGCTTTCTGAAGCGCTCAGGGATGTTTGGGAAGGAGTTACAATCAAAACGAAACAGAATTTCTGGCAACTGAACAAGTAAATTCCAAAATAGGTGTTTAAGACCAGCCACCTACTTGGGTGCACATGGCCTTTGATAGGAGGGTTTGGCAACCCATTAATTAATAACTAAAAAGCCTGCCAACAATGAGCCAGACTGGCTTTGGCCTCCATATACAGCCTATTCCCATTGTAAAGGCCCCCAGTCATGGCCCATCATGGAAAGGAAGACAATTATCCCTCAGAATCTCTAGTATCTTTGCCAGGCCTCAGGGAGCTATTTAGCATTTCCTGGGATAAACAAGCTAATTTTATTTTGCTAGGAAACTTCAGGCCATTCCATACACAATCCATTATAGATAAGGCAAAAAGGAAACATGTTTAATGCCTACAGGAAGGAAATTTCACAGATTAATGGACCCCAGTATTTAATACATTTTCTGTTGGGCAGAATTTTCCTTGATAATCGTCAAGTCCCCAGTTTTCCTGTTGCAGCAGGTTTTTTTTTTTTTTTTTCATCTCTTTTGCGAGAAGCTTATAGAGCTGGCTGATGTCAAATTAAAAAAATAATCCCTTTTACTTGACTCAGGACAAAAATCTCCAAACCAAGAGACTCTGGGAGCTGTGGAGAGCAAACTACCCTTTTCTCTGTGTGTTTGTCCTTCAGGGCTAACCTGAAGTTTGAGCAGGGCTGAGTAAGGCTGGAGATGGGGTCCCAGACACCTCCCATCCTCCCCAAATTTGTCCCTGAGCGCTGAATGTTGGGACACACACCTACCAAGTAAGATGCTGCTTACTGGTCACTGGGGGACCCCTGGACCAAGAACCAGCCTCCCGGGCTCCAAGTTGCCCCCCCCCCCACCCACAAAAGAGCTCTCCTTCCTGCTGTGACTGCCCCTCCAATCCCCATCAGCCATTTTGCCCTAGAAACAGTCATGAACTGCATTTAACCTTTTACAGACAGAGAACTAGCTGAGCCTGCAGAGTGGCTTTTCATGATCATGGCAGAGATTTTTTATTCTTTAAATAAGAAAGCATGTATTTTTAACATCCTCTGAATAAAAATGATAAGAAACAATACTTTCTATTCATCCAAAAATGGAAGAGGAAGCAGAGGGTGAAAGGTCATTCTTGAGGCTGACTCACCCAGAGAGAAAAGCAGAAGGCTTTCTTCACAGTTGCTTTTGAGTCTTTTAAAAATATGTACAAAAATATACCTGATTTTTGTTTCCAAGCAACCCCTCCAACAGCCTGACTTTCTGGGACCTTCCAGGCCTGTCTCCATTCTTGAAAAAATAATGGTGGGTGGAGTCCGGAAGTCTCGTTTACCACAGAAACTTGTTTTGAATTACAGCAACGAAATATGGGGCAGGAGAAATGTAAGGAGAACCAGCTGCTTCTATTTCTCACAGGAATGAAGCCAGGTTTAGATAGTGTAAGCCACATGTTGACAATGACCCATGCTTCTGGAACTTTCTCACTAAGCAGGCCCATCGTATGGACTGGCCTGCTGTGGGGGAGGGGGTTAATGCTCCCCTGCAGGGGCCCCAGAGACCCCGCTGAGCTCTCTCCTGGCATCCAGACTGCTGCCAGCAACGCCAGCAGCACCTGCATCCTTCTGCAGTATAGACAGAACTCTCTGGAAGACAGAAGCATGGACAAGCCCATCAGGGCCAAACGCAGGGAGCAAGCTCCGGATCAGGGACCCCCACACATGTGTGTACACCCTTCCTAAGGTGTGCAGACTTGGCTTGAATCCCACCACAGGAGGAGACCAGGCCTCCAAAGCCAAAACCTCAGCTTCCATGGAAAGCAGGGGCCGGTCCATGAAGCCTATGCCATGCACGACTCAGGGAACATTGTCTGTGGAAAACCAGAGAACTACATCTTCTTTGGACTTTCCCTATGTCCTCCACAAAGAGGTTTTCTCCAACCTCCCTGACTGCTCAGGCAAAGTCCTGCTAACACGATTTACTGCCTTTTGAAAGACTGAAGTTTATGTCTGAGGAAGTTCCTAGGAAGAAATACCAGGAGGAGTGCACCTGGGTCATGAGATCTTAGGGCTGGATCAGAGCAAGGAGCAGAGGGCTCCCAGGACCCCAATTGGTGGCTGTAAGGGACTGGAGCCCTCAGAACTGGTGGGGACTTGATCCTCTGCTGTGTGACCTTAGAAGGATCCCACTTTCTCCACATGTACCTTTACAGGGCAAATGAATGAGGTGCACCCCATAAAACAAGCCACACTGTCTTACAGGTTGGCACAAGAACTAACACCAGGGACTACAGAGTCCACACCTTCTTCCCAAACCTGTTTCCATGGGGACAGGCTAGCCAGAGTGCCATCCCTCCCTGTCCCACTCAACAAAGCATGTAAGAGTCTCCCTTCCCCTAAAGTCCTGGCTGCTAGCAGTCACAGGAACCCCAGATGTCCCTTCTGCAGCCTCAACTGTGGCTTTTCTACCCTACCTTTTCCCACGTTCTCACCATCCGATGCCCTGAAACCCCACAAATGCAGGACAGGCCGGGAGGACAGACATAGCAAGCATAAATATCCAGGACAGAATAATCAACATCAACCTGAATCTGGGAACCATAAGAAAGGGCGGAGGGAGGAAGGTGGAGAGACCTTTTCCTACAGGACTCAAAACTCTGGTTTGACTGCAGCAGCTGCATCCTATTAAGCCCCACCCAGCCTAGCGTGCCCAGCACTCCTGCCACAGACCAGTGCGCCTGCCAGGCACGCGAGGAGGGGATCCAGGGAAAAGGTGCAATCCCTGCTTGGCCCCACTGGCTTCTAGAGGGCTGCGCATTCCCGGCCAAGGCTGCGGGGCCTCCCTGTCCCACTGTTTGCTCTGTTGTACAGCCAGTGTGCCGGGACACCCCTCACCTGGCCGGGACATCCCTCACCTGGCTTGCAGCTCCAGCGTCCGCTCCTTCCCAGACACCTGGAACGTGTGTGGGTATTCCTCGTTGTGAGTCTCAATGATTTTCATTCCATCGAGGCCAACTCTGTTTCGAACTGTGAACTTGGAGCCCACCAGGCTGAACCTCGGCACACAGTACAGCAGCATGTTGTTGAACTGCAGGGCAGAGCAGGTGTTAGCTATGGGCCAAGGACTGGAAACATTGTCACCGCCCCCCCAGGTTCCAAGGCATTTCCAGGGACCATCAGGCTTTCCAGGTAAGCAAAATGGTCGAAGTGCTACAGCTTATGCTCAAAAAGACCATATTCTTAAGGTTTTGACACTGTATTTGTGGTTGGTTCATAAATAAATATCTTACTGATTCTATGTTATTAAGGAAATGAATGTGATCAAATTCAGCAATAATTTAGGAAGGGCCTCTGTTCTTTTCAGAGAGGCCCCTGGTCAGGGCTGCTTGTGTGTCTGTGGGAGGAGGTGAGTGCAGGGCACCCCACTACTTCACCCCCACCACTCCTGTCCCCTCCCTCACTCCTGACTAAGATCCTTCTGGCTCCAGGTACCAAAGTTCTCAGCTTTCTAAGCCAAAGCCCTAAACAGCACAGTTTTTAATTGCTGTGTCTCAGAGAGCGAGTTTACAGATGCAAGGAGAGAAGAGTAAAGTTCAGTGTTTATTTATTTTTTCAGATTTATTTATGCTTACAGAACTGGGGTACAGGCCAGAGGTGTGTTGGGTGAGAGGATTCACCAGAGACAGAGTGGGGAACAGAACAGGCAGACTGACAAAGCACACTGCTGAGGGGAGCCGAGGGCAGGTCAGGAGAGGTCTGCCGGGCCATGTGGGTCAGCTCCCTGGCTAGGGATTGAACTCATGCTGCAGTGGCTTCTGAGAACTGCAAATTGCTATGCTTTAACTCACTGCGCCACCAGGGAGAGCCCTCAGTGTTTATTTTTATCACTGCTTCATGTCAGATTTAAAAACAGCCACATCTGAGCTTCATTATATCAGAATAAAGGGGGAGATAGCAAACGAGACCCCACATAAAAACTGAAGTCGTTGTTTGATACTGGATTCATTTTCTATGGTCCTACATCTTGCTTCAGATTTGATTGTGTGTGAATTAACAGAATTGTGGACAGTTTCTAAAGATGCTGTGCGCAAAATCTACTTTAAAATGAAGGGCTTGGTGTTGACCTGAATCAGTGAGGCCCAGTGCCTTCTCCATCTCCAACTAGCAGTCCTGCCAATGGAGACCCAGCACAGACTTGGGGAGGGCATTAGCTTGTTTTTGAATACAACTTGCCAAAGGATGAAAGCCTACACATTTGGGCCAGTTTCTAAAAGGACCATACCCATCTTGACACTTTGCATTTTTGGTTTTTGTTTGTTTGTTTATAATTTACTTTTACATATTTTGGTGCATTTTTCCATCTCAGTTGCAATCCCCTTGGGTTTCCCATCACCAAATGACCCATGTGCCATCACCATAGTCCAGTGTATTTCCCTCCCCCCATTGTTTTTGATCCCATTCCCCGCTTCATCCCCACAAAATGTCTCTGGTATATAGCTGTTCATCATTATCATTATTTTCTTGCCTGTTCTGTTACACTCCTGCTACATTTTTGTTTTTTACATCATTTCTAGGATTACACATATTTTCCTAAGAGGAGCCACTGGGAACATAATCCTACGCCCTCGCCTTACACAGCCTCTTCGGTGTCTCAAGACCATTGCCTGCAGGACAATGGTAGCTCCGAGGACTCTGGAGGGAAAGGGTCCCATCCTGCAGCTCTCTGTGGGCTCTGCACCGCCATGAAGATAAGGAACATCCCTGACAACTTAAAACATTTCAAAGCGCTTATACACAACACTGCCCACTGTTCTCGCGCTGGTAGCAAATTTCTCACCAGCTGTTCCCTGTACCCCCTTTTACAATTTCTTGTGACTGGGGTCATAGATCTCATGTCCACACTGGACAACATAGAAATCAAAGGGCACTAATGGTTTCTTATCAGATGTCGCTCAGCACCTCATCTCAAGGCCACCTTCAGAGACGGGACACTATGTCTTATCATCCTTGGTTTTCTGTGTTCCCGAGGTAGGCAGCCTCAAGATGGTGCTTAGGATTTAGAGGCTGGAAAAGAAACCCTGCCCTCCCAGACCAAGGTGGTAATCTGCCCATATCACCTCTTTCACCGCCTGGCTCAGGAGGGAATGTGGTCAAGGTTGGGCATGGCTGGAGCCAGAGGGCCACAGCACGCTGGGCAGTACCAACACTTCTGAGACAGCAGCTAGGCAGCCCTGAATTTTGCTAATGGGATGACAAAAGCATGTTCGGGAATAAAGTCTCTGAGTTATCAGATACCTGTCCTCCAGTTTGGCCAGTGCTTGATGGTTATACAAACACAAGAGGGCCACACATTTGCCTTTATATTTATACCCATACTAGATAGCAGTCTGGCTTAGAATCGCATTTCTCTTCCCTCTTGCTTCCAGAACCACATTCCCCTTTGGCACAATGACATTCTTACCAAGTAGGACTTTGTCTTCTAAATGATCAACACCTACGTATTAATCTTACATAATCTCATCACACCCTGATGCTTGTCAATGAATACCACTTCTTCCTGGAGGGAAAAGCGCCTGCAGGATATAAAATCCTGCTTACAAAGCAGACACCATACATAAAAAGTAGAGCTGCCAGCCCTGCTCCCTGCATGGAGCAGACACTGCACTGCCATCTTCTCTCTGGCTTTCTGCTGGTACCCACTGAGGAGGTGACGGCAACAGCTGCACCAAGTAGAAGTGTTTTCCCTCTGGTGCAGAGCAGCCCCTTCTGGCCACCGCTCACGAGGGGACACTGAGCAGCACTCAGCTGGCAAGGCAGCTGTCGAGGTGCTGGAGGAGTGCTAAAATGCAGACATTGAGAACTTAGAGAGAACCCTCTTGATGGCCAGTGTTTCCAACTATTTAAGTCTCTTAAAATGTGTTTACTGGACTGAATGTCTCACCCCCATTAATTTCATGAAGTTTATTTGAGAAGGCAAATGTATATTGATGCCCTTGTATCAATTATGCACACACACATATATACATACATACACACACACATATACACAATTTTGTATCAGGTATAATATCACTGTCCCCATGTTCAAAGTTCAGTAAGTGAGGAGAAATCTGCCTGTTACAACAAAAGCAGAAACAGGACTCTCGATGGCCTAGAGCAGACACTCCTGGGGGCCTTGCTATGGGGAAATTTGGGGATTTTTAAAAACTTGCAGATGTGGCTACTTAAGGAATAGCTATGAGCCAGCAGGGTGCCCACATGACAAAGTCAGAGGAAGTGGACTGTCAGGGAATCAGTTCTAAATACAACTGGCCTTGCCCACAAATGTTTCTAGACACAAAGGGAAATAAAAATAGGAATTGCGGCATTTCTGCATATGAAGAAAACTGGCAAGTGGGGATTAGGTGTGCTGGAGGGGAGGGGCTGTACGAACTGGGGAAAGGGGGCGAGGGGTGAGCCAGCAGGACAGGACATGGGAGGCAACACTGTGGTGTCACTGCAAGACAGGCATGTCCGCAAACACACTGCGGTGTCCCCAGGCCCCGGCCAACATCCTCCAGACTGCTGCTGTACTTGACTGGGTTGAGGTTTCATCTAAAGCTATTTCCAGATTTCACCTACAACATTTTACCTCTGAAAACAATTTCAAACATAAAAATTGAAGCCAAGACAACTTCAGACATGGAGTAAAGAGTTTAACGGTAGAAACCAAAATGCCAAAATGTGGCAGGAGGAGGAAGAAAATGAGCCCAGCCACTAAAAGAAAATGAAGAGGAAGAGGAGAAATAGGCTTACAGGCATTTTGCTCAGACTAGTATCTTTAACGTGTGGCTTCAATGCTTTGAAATCTCGCTGTCTCTGGAGGGACAGCAAGTTACTTTCGGAGTTACTCAGTTCCTAGCCAAAATGAACAACTTGCTCACGAGATGTTTGTTGTGTGGAAACCAAACACTCCAGAGCCCACCCCTCAGTCTCCTCCTAGACTGAGTTCTTACAACCTGGACCAGCATTCTCCTGCCCTCAGCTTGCCTGGGACAGGTGCAGGACACAGCCCCACCACCCAGGCCTGGTGGCATTATTTAAACTAGCCAGTCCTCTGCCTGTTTAGCCCACAGCATGCCCACATGCCCAGCCCATCTGGCAGGGACTATGAGAGGTTTCTGCCATGTTTCAGACCTTTGCCCCTCCCTCCTGCTGGACCTCAGGGCTCCTGTCACAAGCTGTTTATTCATGCCAGAATCATTCAAAATAACCCATAAGTGGAAACAATCAAAATACCCATCATCAGGTATATGCATGCAACGGAATATTACTCAGCAATAAAAGGAGCAAAATACTAATACCTGCTAACTGGATAAACTGTGAAAATACTGTTAAGTAAAAAAAAAAAAGCCATTCAGAAAAGGCCAATACTGAATGGTTCCATTTAAATTAGGCATATGCAGAGAGGCAAATTCTGTCATTAGCTTTTCATTGGCAATCCCCTGCTGAGTTACTGGCCTCACCATACCTGAAGAATAAAGCCTATATTTTGAATAAACAGATCTTTGAACCCTGCTATCCTGTTGTAAGTCCTTGATTTATAGTTAGGCCTCTGTATAACCTCTAAAACATCATGTACTTCTGTCGAGTGCAAATGAATATTTTCATAGCCAACTTGTACAGGAACTGTCCATTTTTAAAATGATTGAGCTATAACTCACATACCCTACAATTTAGTATAGCTTGTAAACTATACTATACAAACTGTAGTTGTATACAAACTACACAAACTATAGTTGTAACCATCATCACCATCTAATTCCAGAACATCTCATAAATCTGACAGAAAACCTGCCCTAGACAATTACCCCTTCTCCCCCGCCTCTCTGCATACGCCCAGTTCTGGGCATTTCATATGAATGGTAGTTTTCCACGTAACAGTATTTTCAAAGTTTATCTAATTAGCAGATATTAGTATTTTGTTCCTTTTAATTGCTGTTTAATATTCTACTGCATCGATGCCCATGATGCAAAATACCCATCAGGGGTATTTTGATAATTTCTACTAGTGGGTTATTATGAATATTTCTGGCATGAACATTCACATGCAAGTTTTAGTTTTGATGTATGTTTCCAATCTTCTTGAGTTGTACACACTTGGAGCAGAACTGCTAGGTTGTATAGTAGCCAAATATACTTTTTTTTTTTTAATATGAGACTTATCCCCCTATGTATGATAATTAATGTCCAGACATTTTCCTTTCTAGGGAGGCACTAAGCAGAAGACAGAAACCACTACACCCTCTGTGAGAACACACATTAAGGGTGGGGTGAGATGACCTGTCTGCAACACAGTCAGCTGTCAGCTGCCTGCTGAGATGCCGCAGCCCCAGGCAATCCCTTAGCCAACCGGTCTGTCTTGACTCTAAGGAGAGCTAACAAGCTACTGAGCCTGTACTCAGTGCAAGTAAACTGTTGCTCAGCCTCAGCTATTATGACTACCGATGAAGAAAGGAACTAAGATCTAACAGAAACTTTAAATACAATGGCCTGAGCCCCAGGAGAAGCTTTCCCACTTGAGGTCAGCGCAGGCTTACTGCCTTCTCCAGGCACTGAGGGGAGGGCTGGCGCAGTGGGAGGGCAGCACATCCAGCTAAGCTTTGCAGAGACACAGCAGGCAGGAGTTTACAACCTACAAATATTACGAGCAGGGACAGAGGGCATCAGGACAAGAATGGTGGGCAGGAAATTGCATCTGGCAAAGTGGCCAGGAAATGGCTCCCATTAGCCTGTAAGGGTGAAAGGAAGGGGAAAATCTGGATCCAGGAGGGTTTCAGAAAGCCCTACCCTCCGATGGCTCTTTAATCAGTGTTACTGAAATTAATTACAGGTAATTAATTTTTCCCATGGGAAAATGGCAGAATTATACTTAAAGAGCTGAGTGCTCGAGAGAACGTGGGGTCACAGGGAATCCTGACAGGGTAGAACAGACCAGGTGAGATGGAGCTGAATGTTTCGACACCCGAGAGTTCACTTTGCGTGATCTGCTGCACTCAGGTACTTACCAGGTACAGGTAGCGTTCCTGGGCTGATGTGTTCCGAGCTGCAAGCTTGAGGATCTGCCCTTCTTTTATGAGTTCATTGGAAGGGTTGACAATGTCTTCTTCTTCTCCCAACATCTCATAAATTTCTATGAGTTTCTTTAGGTTCTCCTAGGAAATGCAAACAAAACACAGCAACATCAAATACCAGGAGGTTTCACCTGGAGCCTTAATTAATGCAGAGACCTTAGCTAATGTCTGGCTACTTCAGAAAGGATTGGGCGTAAGTGTTACTTTGGTGTAAAATGCTTCAGATATGAGCAAATTAGAAACTGGAGGAGAGGGGAGAGAATGGATCTGGGTGACACCCGACATCCTCTGAACCTTCTTTCTGGCTCACTTGCAACTCCTTTGGGTTCAAACCTGTAGGTGGCATTGTGGTGTCTACTGACCACACATACATAGAAGATTCCTGGCTCCTTTGAACCACTTACCATTTTTCTTATTGCACTGTTCGAATGGCTCGCTGCTGTAGATATAATTTCAAGTGATTCTAAATGGGAAGAGAGAAAAGCAAATAAATGCAGTTTGTCCTCACCAGGCCACTGGGTAGCTCAACACCCATAAGGAGGAGCCAGACGCATAGCAAACAGCGGGCCAGTTTTCCTTTACAAACTGGGTCCTTTCAGTTCATTTGTAAAAGGATTTCCTAGAACTTGAAGGGCTGTTTCCTCATAAAAATTCAGACCTAATGATCATACTCGCAGATTTCAGGGACATGAAATCTGCAAGGACCTTCTACCACAGCCCCATGTCCCCTAACCTGGTACAAGGCACACTGCCAGGGTTTTAGCTATATTACGTCAAGTAAACCTTACTCAGTCTTAAATGGAAAATACACGTGCTCCCTCTGGCAGGTGGAAGGAATGGAGACACGGCTTAGCTGTGGTCACTCCACTCTGAAGTGTCGTGTGAGACCTTCAGACTTGAAGCTGGGCCATGTCTCAGCAGCACTGATCACCTTTCCAGTTCTATGCGTCACAGAACCATCCGGTGTCACCCACGTCCCTTGGGAAAACACAAGCATCTAGCCGGGGTCAGGCAAAAGGGAGCCCTCAGGGCCAGTGGTGAGAGTGGGTTTGTTGTGGGGCAGGCAGCAGTGAGAGCCGGGCAGGTCTTTGTAGAGGGTAGGTCGGAGCTCCGGCTCGGGAGGCTCTCAGGCCTAGGTCTGGTCCTGCTATTTCCTTTCTTTTCTCTCGTGTGCATAATGGCCTGCTCAGTTCTGTCACCGCAGCAACCTCATCACTCCTAGACCCAATTTTCTACTTTTGTTCCACTGTGGAACAGAAAGTACTTTTGGTGCTCTTTCTCCTGCTTTTAGGGCTCTGACGTACTTCTGTGATTTCCTTAGAATTTGAGTGTCAGTAGCGATGGTAAAACAAAGAAAGGAGATAGGGACCAACCAATGTTGCCACTTTCCTCATTTCTGACAGAGGCACTGTAGAGAAAGGTCATGTCTTTGCATTGGAAGGGCTGACTCTTTATTTGCATTTTGGAGAACCATCTCAATGTGAGCAATTCTGTCAGTTTCCTAGAAGACCTAAAGGAGAGGGTGACAAATTGGACCAGGTGGTCCTGCACCCCAAAGCAGAGGCCAGCTTGAGGGGTGCTGGTGATAATCCCATCTCATCCCACCTCTAAAACCAGGCAGCCAACCAGGTGAGCAGAGAGGAGTGTGAAGGGTAAATGGGGGAGGGCAGGTTAGGACAACCCTAAATTCAAGAAGGACAGAGAGCAATCCCCAGCCAGTGGCTCTAGGAGGGTGGGAGACACATCTCAGGGATAAAGATTCAGGTTCACAGACAAAGTTGTATTCTGGGTCCTCATTCCATTCCCACAGTCACTTCTAATAAAGCCAAAACATTATCTGGGGAAGTAACAATGCTCAAAGCTTGTACACCAAGCTAGGACCTGTGAATACCAAGCCATTTTTAGTACATTTTCATGACAGCTAATTGAATTTTTTAAGGACATGAGAAACTAAAGTATTGTTGGCACTCAGAGCCTTAAAAACACTTTCATTTTAACTAGATCACTACTTCACACCATGCACAAAAACCAACTCGAAGTGGATTAAAGAACCTAGACACAGGAACAGAAACCATAAAATACCTGGAAGCAAAGATAGGCAAAACATTGCAAGACATTAACCTCAGTAACATCTTTGAAGATACAGTACCCAACGCAACAATAAGGAAGGAAAGGATAAACAGATGGGACTACATCAAGTTAAAGAGCTTCTGTACAGCAAAAGAGACATCACAAAAGATAAACAGACATCCACTGGTAAAAAATTTTCTCACACAATACTAACGATAAAGGATTGATCACAAAGATATACAAAGAACTGATGAAACTCAACAAAAATAAACAACCCCATCAAAAAATGGGCAGAAGAGCTAAAAAGACACTTCTC